GATGAACAGCTTCCATGTGCTGAGTGCTACAGAGTAGGTTCCTGGAGACACCACTCCTGCTTACATTTGGCTGGAAATTTAGTATCCTGACAGAAGCTGTTGCGTTTCTTTATGGGCAAATATGGTGAAAGTTGCATTAGGGATAATGTCCGTTGGAGTATGTCACCTTCAATATTCCTCCTTCACTTTCGTTTCTTGTGATAGATCTGACTTTTTCTCTCTAGCATACTTATGCTTACATCAGTTACCATGGCTGCAGCCTAGGATTTTGAAACTTGCTAACTGTGAGTGTTTACACCGCCATGACTTGATCATGGAAGTCAGTAAAAAATGTTGGAGATTAATCAACTTTTTCATCAAAAAGAAATAAAATTAATCTGTTCGTCGCAGAATTTCTGCCGCAACTTTCTCCCGTGTGGATAGTAATCTCTGAATGATTTAGCATATTGCATCCTATGAGGACTTCCCATTGCCCTAAAACATGCCAGGCAAGGAGAGCTAAAATCCCAAGGGGCTGTTTACCATCGCCCTAAAACATGACACACCGTGAAAGCTTCATTAAACAGCTCCGTGAAACACCATGTGATTATATTGTCTGTTGGATTTTGCTTACAGCACATTTCTGATTCTTTAGATTCATTAATCATGCTAGCAATGCAGTTCATCAGTGTTCTTCTCATATGAGGGAAAAACGGACACAGTTCAAATCATTCACTTTTTTTTAACATATCATTCCTCTTCTTGTGAGTGGTTGGTTGGTGTTTAATGCAGCACACAGCAATATTCCTGTCGTATGGCAGCGGTATGTAAATAATTTTGGGTACAATGTGGGAAGCTCATTTCTGGTGTCCCCCCGCTATGATATTGCTGGATTATTGCTCAAAGCAGCGTAAAAGTAAACTCACTCACTCACATTAACTGTAAATAATTGAGTCTGGACCAGAAAGTCCAGTGATCAAAAGCATGAGCATCAATATTCACAACTGGGATACGAGGACATGTGTCAACCAAGTCAGCGAGCCTGACCACCCGATCCCGTTAGTCGCCTCTTACGATAACATGGGTTGCTGAAGACCAATTCTAACCTTGATCTTCACAGGTCCTTTCTTGTACAATATAGATGATATAAGTAGTGTCCATTGTTCAGAGTCACATTCTTACTAAAAGTATCTGTCAACTTGAAAAATGTTAAAAATTTAAGGTTGCATCAGCAGTTTCGGTAGGTAACTTTACAATGAAGACCCTTTTTATGAAAACAGATGGTTTCTTTCCATCTACTGGGGCTTGGACTGGAGATAACTTGAGGATGCCAGTTGACTGTTGTCATACTTTAATATAATCTCCTTGATGTTGATATTGTCACCTTTTCCCATACTTCCAAGTATCATTGGAAATACTTAAAAATAACACAGATCTGAGTTTGATAAGCATCAAATATATGACCAAAACTTACTGAAAAGAACACAATGTTTCTCCAGATGGTAGCAAGTAGTAGATGAACACATATTGTGAAATATAATGTGACCGTTGTAAACAAAATTACACCCCTCATTTTACAAAACCCTTTTTGTATCATACAGGATAAGTACAAAATATCAAAACCCTTTTAGCGGTAAACATTTTTCTTATTTTTATTTGTTTTATTAGTTTTATTTCCCTTAGGTAACAGTTTCGTTGTCTGTCAGCCAGTATACTCACTCGGTAAAAGTTAACATGACAAAACTTTGTATGTAAGGGCTGGGGACAAATATAGCATGTACTGAACATAGATCTTAAGAGGTATTCGTGCTGGAACTCTGGTGAAGATTACGTTTCATTATGGCTTTTTTAACTGAAGCCATTTTTCACCAACTATAGCGGCACTGAGAAGAACCACAGCTGAACACAGCCAACCAGTAATGGCCTCCATTATTGAACTTTTTGTGTCCTCCATTTATATGCTAATTATAACTATGGTTATGTATGAACCGCATACACTTTGTCCTTCCTTTTTTTGAGAAATGTCTTTGTACTTTAATTTTCCTCATAAAGAGGGAAAAAGTTTTCAAATTACTTAGATGACCCATTCAATCAATGTTTCAGTGACAAGCCACTTTCCATTAAGTAATGGTTGTTTCCCTCTTCCTGTACAAGGAGCAACAAGGGCCTGGACAGGGCTGATGTTGATATACGACCACCTGTATAGACATGATCTTAGTTCATCAGAGGTCTTAGTTAAATACTTCATTATAGTTATCTGTCACTAGCTCAGGGTTGCTTCATGCAAGGAAACTAAAAATTTCAATCAATTACCTGTTGTCTGCCCAGCAGTTTACATGTTTTACTCTGTGAAGTGAATGATTCTCTGTTGAATCGATTGGAACAAGGATTCTGATACTGTCTGTTGCATGTAAACGCTAATCATCTCATTCTGAATTTGGTCTCCTGTAGTTTGGGCTTCAGGCTTCCACAAGTTGATGGTTATTGTATTGTTCACATCCTGCAAAGTAACCCAATACGCCCACTGCTCAATGGCTCCCGCTGAAAGTCACCTGTTTCATATTGGAGATTAAGTGAAGGAAAAATAATCTTTGATGAAGAAATTTCTGTGTCATCAATCAAGCCACTGCATGAGGAAATGATAATTTATTGTTGCAGAATAATGTTAATACTGGCAAAAGGATCAAAGCTAGTTTTGTGCAGGAATTGATTTAATAATGACAACACTGTTTTTCTATCCCCTGTCAAATATTATTAATTAAATAGAAAGTCATATGTCTTAGGATATTTGTCAAATGATATCAAATATTGGATGTGAAAAGTTTAATTTTTACAAGGGATGGCTGAAATGTTCTGAGCCCAACTAGAAGGAACACCATAAGTGACCGCTTGAAAGTCTGATTGTATGAAGTACAAATACATTTAATGCTAACAGGATGCATATATGCCATGTACACATCCAGAGGCATATTTTTGTATGCATCAAAGTTCCAAGGTATTCTCTGTTGATGTAAAAGGACAGATATTCTACTGCATGATCATCAAGAATCTTCTCACGCCGAAGACCCAGGTTTTCGAATCCCCACAATCCCCATTTCTGGTGTCCCCCGCCGTGATATTGCTGGAATATTGCTAAAAGTGGCGTAAAACTAAACTCAGTCAGTCAGTCAGTCAAGAATCTTCAAGTGAAAGGGCTTATTCCAGCCAGTCATGGTGATACTGTTCTTTTGCTTGTGAAGGGAGATTTGTAAATAATACCTGTGACTTCAGTTACTAAGGAAATATTGATAAAATATATTTATGTACGTCAATGCCTCACCACAAGTCACATAGTCAGTTCAGTGGGCATCTTTCATGAGGGAGTTGAGAACCTTCTGGGGAATAAAGTGGTATGACAAGGTTTCTGTTTGCTGGGTTTCAAGTTTTCTGACTTCTCATCCTAGACTCTTAATTAGAAACACAATTAATATCCTCAGAAGAATATCAAGCTGATTTTGATGAGTGATTTGTGACGATCTCCATATAAGATGATGGCTTATCACCCCTGCCCCACAATCTGGCAAAGGCTAAACAACAGTCAAAGAAGAGGAAACATCTTACATCTCTTTCTTAGAAGAGAATGTGTCTGAACCGTCAGCTGGCAAGGTGGCTTTGGTTTTCTTGGATTCTACTGGTGGCCTATATGCTCCAAGATTAGACCATGACTGGACATGATTATGCTAAACTACTGAGGTTAAATGTCATGGAACACTAAAGGTGTGGTGTTCAACTGGACAGTATGCCGGTGGACAAGTATATTGTCATCACGGCTGCAGTACATGACTGGCTTTGAACTCATTGGACAATCTGTGTTCACCTGAATGGGCAATGTCAGGCTGACATATCTATCTTTGGAAGAGAACTGTCAGGCTGTATGCAAATGATGATGTCATTTCAGCTGTTGGGGACTTTTTTACAAATCGGAAGCCTGCTACTCCAGTGGGATGCAAGACTCCAGCATCGGCAATAGGGTTGGACCTTGGAGTCAATTATGTCAAAAAATTATTATAAACCATCCCACCATGTTATAATTATAGACATTTTCAGCTGTTCCTTTGTATCAGCCTTACCTGTATTGGAGGGCAGGGTTAGGTCCAATAGGTTACTTGGTTAGTTTGTGCTGAGGGGCGTCCTCTGCCTGGTCACAGGGTAACACTGATATTATGTTTACATCATACAACCCCAGGGAGTATGGAACAACTAGGTATAAGTGATGTCTGTTTTCTTCTATTGTGACACTTGTCAGTCATTTATATAAAGTTAGAGTAGACCTGCTTTCTATCACTTTGACTGCCTCAACTGTGTTGTGGCACTCTTTGTTTGGTCTAGGCTGGCTAACTGTTTTGTGTCACTGACAATCATTCTTGTCATTACTGGAAAAATCTCAACCACACGTAGAAATTATTTGAGTTTAGGGAACACATAAAAGTGTGAGGTTGTGAGGTCAGGAGACTGAGGGTCATGGAGAAGTAGCCACAGTCTGTAGCTACAGTTTCTGTCACAACTGATGTATACACAGATGCCTGAGTTCACCTGTACATGTATTTTCTGCTCAAGGTTATGCCTGTCCAGTTTCTGCAACAGGGACACAGAAATAAAGACTATTTATTGATAAAAGAAAATTAACTGTACAACAAAATATAATTTGCCAACTGATGTCATTAACTTAAGTGTGTGCTCCCGAACTTTTAGTTTCTAATTCAACGTAAGGGAGCCAGGTCTCTTCCTCAGTAACAGTTTGAATATATACAAATTCATGAATTCTGTTGATATCTGGGCAGAAGTCCCAGGTAAATTCATTTAGGATAGCTTCTGATGTCACCATTCTTTATATCAATCTTGCTCATGTGGAGTGTGCTAGATGAGATTGTACAACTGATCCCAAGAGTGTCAGTAATGTACTGAATTGTAACATTCTGGTCAATGGTAGCCATGTTGTAGAGAGGTAGAACATCCATGTACTCAGCATCAATGTATTTCAGGTACCTCATGCTGGTTTACAAGGCTATGGTGGAGGCAGTCATGAAGGGAATCCAGACATATGCCAACACTCTCAGTGTTACTCAGGTAAGAACAAGATCATTTATGTCAAGTAGAGACTATAGTATCTCTGGAAGCAGGATTTGCTGAGTTTCAACTTCATTGCTTTTCTCTATTGAATGTTTCAATATGGGTACCTTTATCTGATATGGATAGATGAGGTAATATAAAAACACAGATTAAAAAAAAAAGAATTGTGAAAATGTATGAAGAATTGGGAAGCCTACCAAATTGTTGTTCACTTGATTAACATAATCATACCAGCAATAAAACTTTAAAATGAAAGAATAAAACAAGTTGAAATTTAAAAGTCATTCCTTTCTTCACATGTAGCCACTGTTTTACTTATCCATTTGCGAAATGCAGACTCATTGCCCCCTAGTTTAGCGTGTCTCCTAAAGTGTACTTACTTATCTAAATGTTGTCTCCTAAAGTGTACTTACTTATCTAAATGTTGTCTCCTAAAGTGTACTTACTTATCTAAATGTTGTCTCCTAAAGTGTACTTACTTATCTAAATGTCCTAATAAAGTCTGACTGAACCAAGTTGTCTCTTGCAAGAATAGGTTCGAAAGTGCTCACTTTGGTTTTGTAAGTGTGACTTTGGGTTTGTAAGTGTGACTTTGGGTTTGTAAGTGTGACTTTGGGTTTGTAATTGTGACCTTGTTTGTAAGCGTGACTTTGGGTTTGTAAGTTGGACCTTGTTTGTAAGTGGGACTTTGGGTTTGTAATTGTGACCTTGTTTGTAAGTGTGACTTTGGGTTTGTAAGTGTGACCTTGTTTGTAAGCGTGACTTTGGGTTTGTAAGTGTGACCTTGTTTGTAAGTGTGACTTTGGGTTTGTAAGTGGGACCTTGTTTGTAAGCGTGACTTTGGGTTTGTAAGTAGGACCTTGTTTGTAAGCGTGACTTTGGGTTTGTAAGTGTGACCTTGTTTGTAAGCATGACTTTGGGTTTGTAAGTGTGACCTTGTTGGTAAGTGTGACTTTGGGTTTGTAAGTGTGACCTTGTTTGTAAGCGTGACCTTGTTTGTAAGCGTGACCTTGTTTGTATGCGTGACTTTGGGTTTGTAAGCCTGACTGTGGGTTTGTAAGTGTGACTTTGGGTTTGTAAGTGTGACCTTGTTTGTAAGCGTGACTTTGGGTTTGTAAGTGTGACCTTGTTTGTAAGTGTGACTGTGGGTTTGTAAGTGTGACCTTGTTTGTAAGTGTGACTCTTGGTTTGTAAGTGTGACCTTGTTTGTAAGCATGACTTTGGGTTTGTAAGTGTGACCTTGTTTGTAAGTGTGACTTTGGGTTTGTAAGTGTGACCTTGTTTGTAAGCGTGACTTTAGGTTTGCATGTGTGACCTTGTTTGTAAGCGTGACTTTGGGTTTGTAAGTGTGACCTTGTTTGTAAGTGTGACTTTGGGTTTGTAAGTGTGACCTTGTTTGTAAGTGTGATTTTGGGTTTGTAAGTGTGACCTTGGGTTTGTAAGTGTGACCTTGTTTGTAAGTGTGACTTTGTTTGAAAGTGTGACTTTGGGTTTCAAAAATGTGATTGTTGTATGTGTCATGGTACAGAACCAGCAACATTTTGACAAACTAGACTTAGTGTCTTGGTTTGCATAGATAGCAATCTGATTGTAAATTTCAATGTATATTTTTTTCAACAATAATATAGCTTAGGTTTATATGTACATAAGATGCTTTTCCTCTTTGGGTTGCCATGACAAGATACACCCAGGGAATTCCTGGGAGAAAAGGTCACCAGGTCACCTTGCTTGTTGGAAGATAAAACAAAAATATGTGCATAGTGTATTCTCGGATGGTCAGACTCACTAACTTGGTTGACCACATGTCATTGTATCACAGTTGCATAGATTGATGCTCATGCTGTGGATCTCTGGATTCTCTGGTTCAGACTCGATTATTTACAGACAACTACCATACAGCTGTGGTTACTGCTACCATTGATATAGTCTCATTTGTGACCTATCCTACATCCGAAGCCTGGATCATTGCCGAAACTAGTAACACTAGCCCTCACTCCTCGCCTATCTAGGCAACTGTGGAATACTTGTGATAATACCGACAACACTGGGACACCAAACTCACTCATCATATTGTATGAGTAACTTGTTTCCTATAGTGAAGGAGATCCAATGCTTCATGAAATAGCCACTTTCTCGATATTTATGTTAGCGATGATGCAATGCTGTTGCAGGCAAGGCTGAAGGCTGTCCAGACTCTCCATGACGACTGTGGTGACCTGAAGACTTCTACCCTCCTCAACTATCTGTCTGATAGGTATGTAGAAGGACTAAGATCAATCTCAGGGCAGAATGCGGCTATTTCCATGGATTGAGGTGTTATGCCAGAGATGCGATACAATGTCATTTCCACTGTGGGATTGTGGTATGGTTTGGCACTGAATTGTTACAGCATAAGTTTGCATGCTCACCCAAATTCAAAACCCCACTTGGTACAGAAGTTCCTTTCTGGTATCTCTTGCTGTGATATTACAAGATCACTATGTTTTTCTGAAGGCATTGTAAAACCATACTCGCTATGTTGACGCCATGTTATCATCGAAAGTCATGACATTAACTCATTGCATCAGTGATTAAACAACCTTTTAAGCAAGAGTCATATGAGACTGTTTTAAATCTTTGTAGACAGAGTAAACTTGATGGATCTCAATGGTTGTGAAAATTAGCCACCAAAGGCTGCAGCTATTATAATATTGCTCAACATGAAGGGAAAGTTAATGAATGGATTGTTGAAATCATCCCTGTAGTCATTCAATATTGAAGAGAGGATTTTGTCACACTGCAACCTAGCTAGATGCAGTTACACTAAATAAATGCTGTTGTTTCACTAGTCGGGAATTCAAAAGTTCTGAAACAGTGTCTTTGGACTCTTAGGAAGTGACATCATTGGCTTTATATGAAATTTGAAACAATTGTTTAAAGGAGCATTCTTGAGGATTTGAATGTATTTTATCTATGTTCTCTTGGTGTTTCAGATCGAGTGTCAAGTTTACTATAGAGGCTGTGGCCAACTGTGGCAGGTGGGAGGGAATTCACATTTGTTACATTATCACCTTCGGTCTCTTCTTGTTTTACAACATACTCCTATCAATCTACATAAAGAATGTACTGTAGACTACAAAACTAGATTACCAGTGAGTGGTCAAGATTGATCCTTCAAGTCACAGGGTCCATGTCATCATCCTTGTAATTGCTGTCCACTGTTCAGAGTTTAAGGTCCTGGCTATAGACACTATTGCAGTCAACTGCACAGACCCCATGACCCCTTAGTTTCAAACACTGCTGACTATGGCAAGGAGGTATGCTCATCTATCTGTCTAGTGTACATGTAATCAGATCAATGGCAGATTTCAACAATCTCATTGTCAAAGGAAGGCGTGAGCAGGGGCGGATGCAGCTTTTTGAGGAAGGGGGGAGGTGCACACTCTTGAGAAAGTGGGGGTGCACACTTCAATTTCACTAAAGTTTCAATGGTCATTTGATAAACTTTCAGGACAAAGGGGGGGTGGGGGTTGGGGGTGCCCCTCTGGATCCGCCTATTTGATTTCTATCCAGTACACCAAGTGATATAACTGCTGCCTCATGCTGATTGACTAGTTCCTTCATTGATATGCCTTGTTTGTTGCTTGTTTGGGACAGATGTTGTTCCAACTATTAACCATCCTCGATAATCTCTTAGGTATACATTTCGATAAATCTCCACTAGTACTGTTGATGCATCTACGACTCGATCTGATAACTGTATTACCTCCCTTTGCTGGCTTTGCCTTCTCACAGTAGCCAATCAGATAAGCTGTTACAACCGAGCTTGCCAGTATCAACGAAGATGGCAGCCACAGCCGTGAGGTTTGCTGTGCGAAAAAATCATGCAGACAAACTGACAGATCTGAAACCTTCAACAAATATATGCAAGAACTCCTTCTACCTCTTTCAGGATGCCTCTGCAACAACTGTGTTGCCAAGTTTAATCCATTAGATAAAAGAAGCGGAAGTGAGTTATGATAGAAGTTTTGTGATTGGTACGCTCAAGTTCCCAGCGTAGACACCTGATTGGATAAAAGTCAGCAAAGGGAGGTAATACAATTATCGGGCCGAGCTGCAGGGTAGTAGTGGAGATACCCTGGAGATTATTGAGGATGACAATTAACTGGTCTGACTTATGACAGGTTTCAGGTTTCAGATCAGTTTTATTTTCTGGGACACTGACTCGTTATTATCCAAAATGTCCTTTAGATACTTAAGATACAAATTTGGTTCAGCTATAGAAGAATGTCATCAAAACTTGAAATACAGTGGAAAAAACTTCCTTATGCCAGTGTTCTGTCCTCTGCTCCCTGCTCTCTGTTTGACCCACATTCTTCCACAATTTCTTGATTGTGGGTAACATTCAGAATAAACTACTCATAATTCAGAATTGATTATCTGTCACTTGTGAATATATGTTGCCAAGACTTGTCAGGTACTGTAATTGGTTTGTTAGCTATTCATAAAGTGAGTTAATATCACTTTTGAAACAGCTTAGCTGTGTGTATGATTGAGAATGTAGATTCAGTAAGTTTGAAAGATACAAGTTTACGTTTTTGTAAAGTAGCAATGCTTGCTCGTACATTTTGTATCATAATGTTTGTATGCCTATTGAACTAGAGAATGTCCATGCTCCAAAGTTCAGTTTACACATTTTATTAATCTTCCAGCTTCTAATTGAGGCTGCACTTTGTATTGCCCAGCTGGTTTGAACATGTGATCAATTAAGTTGATGATAAATTATCAATAGCAGAAATGTGAAAATATGCCACCATATAATTTTCAATTCTTCCAATAATTTGGCTCCATTGCTATTTCATATAACTTTTGTGTGTGTGTGTGTGTGTGTGTGTGTGTGTGTGTGTGTGTGTGAGAGAGAGAGAGAGAGAGAGAGAGAGAGAGAGAGAGAGAGAGAGATAGAGAGAGAAACAGCATCCGGGTGTACCTACCTCGACATGGCTGCAATTTAATTTCTACATTCATGCATTAATGTCCCATCGTTATTGCAATGATTCAATAACTCAACCAAATCTTGGTAATAAAAGTGTGGGAAATAAATTTTGGTTGTCATATCAAAGCCAATTTATTCCACTAGGCCCAGTTCCCTGCGAGATGGCTGCCACAGTCTTCTGGTGAAGGTTGCCACTATGACCCTATATGACATTCCTAGTTGCCATGGCAAGGGCCATCTCAACTCCTTGGTGTTTGCAGAATCCTTCCTTGACTCTGCTATTCCAGTCACTGAGCCAGGTGGGATTATCGTATCCAGTTACATAGTATCTAATAACTAGGGGTCTGATAGCCGAATGGTCCACCAACTTGATAGCTAAATGGTCTACTAGTCTGATAACCAGCCCGTTGAATGATCCACTGGTCTGATAACCAGACAGCTGAATGGTCCACTAGCCTGATAGCTGAATGGTCCACTAGCCTGATAGCTGAATGGTCCAGTAGCCTGATTACCCGACATCTGATAGGTCTACTAGTCTGATAACTTGATAGCTGAATGGTCCAGTAGCCTGACAGCCAAATGGTCAACTAGTCTGATAACCTGATAGCTGATTGGTCCACTAGTCTGATAGCTGAATAGTCCCGTAGCCTGACAGCCAAATGGTCCACTAGTCTGATAACCTGATAGCTGACTGGTCCAGTAGCCTGACAGCCAAATGGTCCACTGGTCTGATAACCTGATAGCTGACTGGTCCAGTAGCCTGACAGCCAAATGGTCCACTTGTCTGATAACCTGATAGCTGATAGGTCTGCTAGTCTGATCACCTGATGTCCAAATGACCCACTGGGCCAATAGCCTCTCAGCTCACTTGATTTCAGCCCAAAAGCGATGTGGTTACCTAGCCTGATAGCCCGATAGCCCCATAACTCAATATTCCACTATCCTGGTAGCCAAATAGTCCTCTAGCCCAATGAATTAGTCTGGGAAGTATATCCCCTGGGATCAAAACATTCTTAACACTAATGGGAATGTTCCGTTTTTTCACTGTTCAGGAAAAATGGATATTTAATTTCTATTACCTGATAGATTTAATCTTGAAGAGAAGACAATTAACAGATTGGTGACATACTTAACAATAAGTGGACATAAAGTGGCTTATCTTGAGTGATAGTAATTGGTGCTCGGGGATACCCAGTGGTGGAAGGTTTCACAGTGTAAGCAGTGCTGCAGTTAGTGTCCCAGAGCTGGTTGGTGCACTTGAGGTACTGTTAAATGAGCTGAAGGAGACTTTGAGTATCATGACTATGGACATTGTATGTGAAACTCTGAGGTGGCTTCTTTCCAACTAGAGTCACTCAGGTGTGGTTACCAGCATGATTAAAAAAAATATAATTTCTCCAGTTTCTGCAAATTTAGAATAGGACTCAGTCGTTGTTATTCACTGTTCTAACATATTTGTCGAAGTATTATTTGATTATTTAATTAGAGTTTAATTAATTAACATTTCTATTGGTCACAAACTAATGCAGTCAGAATTTATTTTGGCCAAAGTCAATGTTTTTCTGAACCTGTCTGCAACGTCATTATTCATGTGTGGTGTTGCAGGCCAGCCAGAGACAATCAGCAGTGATGTTCTCGTTCTCACCAGTCACCTGCCAAGGTTCCAGATGTGGGCAGTAAGTGGCCAATTTCCATGCAGTGAAACTGTGTCGGTCTGGTCCACGGTAGTCCAGAAACTCTCTGTCCTAGACTCAAGCTTTGTCCCAATAAACTGTCAATCCACTAGAAACAAAATGCATTCCCGCCTTCTGTTGTGTTACAAAATGAATTAAGCATATTGTTTATCTTCCATTAATCTCAAGATTGTATATCCCAGACCTCTTATGTGATTAATTCATGTCTACAAGTTTTACAGGATATCTAATAAGCAGAACTAATAATCATTCTTTTGCTCACATTTCCTTGGTAATTTCTAAAATGTACGCCGTGTGGTATTTTGTTGTTCCAGAGTGGCAAGGCAGACACATTGGCTAATAAAGATATCCAGGAGAGACTCAAGTGTAAGAGGCTGCCAGGCTTCGGTGATGTGTTGATGAATGGAGAAGCAGTCCTGCTGACAACTGGCGATGTGCTCACCTCCACACCCTGTCAAGGTCAGTTGGTCAGTGGGGTTCCAGGCACATCACTGTCGGATCAGCCCAAATGGGCTCTACACATTGTACCCATATCATTGTGGGGATCAGCTCTAATGGGCTCTACACATTGTACCCATATCATTGTGGGGATCAGCCAGAATGGGCTCTACACATTGTACCCATATCATTGTGGGGATCAGCCAGAATGGGCTCTACACATTGTACCCATATCATTGCAGGGATCAGCCAGAAATGGCTCTACACATTGTACCCATATCATTGTGGGGATCAGCCAAAATGGGCTCTACACATTGTACCCATATCATTGTGGGGATCAGCCAAAATGGGCTCTACACATTGTACCCATATCATTGTGGGGATCAGCCAGAATGGGCTCTACACATTGTACCCATATCACTGTGGGGATCAGCCAAAATGGACTCTACACATTGTACCCATATCATTGTGGGGATCAGCCAAAATGGGCTCTACACATTGCACCCATATCATTGTGGGGATCAGCTAAATGGGCTCTAGGGATCAGCCAAAATGGGCTCTACACATTGTACCCATACATTGGGGATACCCATGTCATTCCTACACATTGGGGATCAGCCAGAATGGGCTCTACACATTGCCCCCATATCATTGTGGGGATCAGCCAAAATGGGCTCTACACATTGTACCCATATCATTGTGGGGATCAGCCAAAATGGGCTCTACACATTGTACCCATATCATTGTGGGGATCAACCAGAATGGGCTTTACACATTGTACCCATATCATTGTGGGGATCAGCCAGAATGGGCTCTACACATTGTACCCATATCATTGTGGGGATCAGCCAGAATGGGCTCTACACATTGCCAGAACCCATATCACCCATATCATTGTGGGGATCAGCCAGAATGGGCTCTACACATTGTACCCATATCATTGTGGGGATCAGCCAAAATGGGCTCTACACATTGTACCCATATCATTGTGGGGATCAGCCAGAATGGGCTCTACACATTGTACCCATATCATTGTGGGGATCAGCCAGAATGGGCTCTACACATTGTACCCATATCATCATTGTGCCATATCATTGTCATTGTGGGGATCAGCCAGAATGGGCTCTACACATTGCACCCATATCATTGTGGGGATCAGCCAGAATGGGCTCTACACACATACCCATATCATTGTGGGGATCAGCCAAAATGGGCTCTACACATTGTACCCATATCATTGTCGGAATGGGCTCTACACATTGTACCCATATCATTGTGGGGATCAGCCAAAATGGGCTCTACACATTGTACCCATATCATTGTGGGGATCAGCCATCAAATACCCATATCATTGTGGGGATCAGCCAGAATGGGCTCTACCCATTGTACCCATATCATTGTGGGGATCAGCCAAAATGGGCTCTACACATTGTACCCATATCATTGTGGGGATCAGCCATTGAGGCTCTACACATTGTACCCATATCAAATGCACATTGTACACATGTGATTGCCATAAATGGCCATATCATTGTGGGGATCAGCCAGAATGGGCTCTACACATACCCATATCATTGTGGGGATCAGCCAAAATGGACTCATTGTACCCATATCATTGTAGGGATCAGCCCCATATCATTGTGGGGATCAGCCAGAATGGGCTCTACACATTGTACCCATATCATTGTGGGGATCAGCCAGAATGGGCTCTACACATTGTACCCATATCATTGTGGGGATCAGCCAGAATGGGCTCTACACATTGTACCCATATCATTGTGGGGATCAGCCAGAATGGGCTCTACACATTCATTGTGTTGTGGGGATCAGCCAAAATGGGCTCTACACATTGTACCCGTATCACTGTCGGATTAGCCTGAAATGGGCTCTACACATTGTACCCATGTCATTGTGGGGATCAGCCAATACACTGGAAATACACAAATGTACACTGAAACAGGGTTGTTGTTGTTGCTGGCTGGGGTTGCTGAGACATTTGTAATACCACACTCATGATGCAGTGGGGTTATGGGTTAAATCTGGTCCCCAGCAACATATGCTTATCGCATGAGCTGACTTATAGATCTATTGGCCAGCATCAGGGACTTGATAAATTTGGGGTCACTGTGCCCCAACAACATGGATCATTGCCCACGATATCAGTTACTGGATTGTCTGGACCAGACTTGATTATATACAGGTTGCCATGAAACAGCTGGAATATTGCTGATCATGATGTTAAACAATAAACACAAACTCGTGGTGTTGCTTGACCTTGTAGACAGACATCAGGCAATCTACAGCATGAGTACACTCAGAGAGTCGCCATCATGTAGCTGTGATTGTGCTGTCAAGGGTGTCAAACCCATTAACTCATTTCTCTTGTGTAAATCATGACAAATATTTGTCTCTTCTTGACTGGAAAGCATTAGATATTTCAGACAAGACTTATAAAGTTGATACTAGTTGGTAGAACTTTTGACATTTAACACTAATGGTAATTCTTCAGCTTTGGACCAAGTGGTTTCAGTCTCATTGTTGAATGTGTTTGCAGACTGTCTGTACTTGTATGAGAATGGCATGATCATCCAGGCCTTGCAGTATGGGGCATTCTCTCTCATGGCCAGACACATAAAGGGATTCTCCTTGTATGATGGGGTAGGTTATCTGGAGTTGATTTCACACTTACTGCATTAATTGACATGATATTCTATTGATAATGATATCATAAGTACTTGCAATCACTGTGTGAGAGTGGTTCTGGTTCATTCCTTCTGTAAGTAGAACTGCTAGATATAAATGCACCACCTGGAGGGAAGCGTCTGGTAAACAATATGTTTATGTGTGTGACAGGACTCCATATCTAACGTTGCGTTCCTGATAGCTGACCTTGATGTGACCTCCAGGGATCGAATTCCTCCTCATCTTCTCAGCTCCAGCAACAGACTGGTCCTTGTAATTCATCCCCGGAGTAAAGCCAGGAAAGCTCTCTTCCAGCAGGTAATATTGGTGTCACAATTGCAGTGTCCATTATGACTTGAGTGAGTGTCTGGGTAGATGAGTCATTATAATTCCTCTGGGGAGAAATGCCAGGACAGCTGTCTTCCAGCAGGTAATAAGTATCACAATTACAATGTCCACTATTCCCACTCCACTATCTACAGACTCGACTATTCCCACTCCACTATTTACAGACTCCACTTTTTCCATTCCACTATCTACAGACTCCACTATTCCCATTCCACTATTTAGAGACTCCACTATTCCCACTCCACCATTTACAGTCACCACTATTCCCACTCCACTATCTACAGACTCCACTATTCCCACTCCATTATTTACAGACTCCACTATTCCCGCTCCACTATCTACAGACTCCACTATTCCCACTCCACTATTTACAGACTCCACTATTCCCGCTCCACTATTTACAGACTCCACTATTCCCACTCCACTATTTACAGACTCCACTATTCCCACTCCACTATCTACAGACTCCACTATTCCACTCCACTATCTACAGACTCCACTATTCCCACTCCACTATTTACAGACTCCACTATTCCCACTCCACTATATACAGACTCCACTATCTACAGACTCCACTATTCCCACTCCACTATTTACAGACTCCACTATTCCCACTCCACTATCTACAGACTCCACTATTCCCACTCCACTATTTACAGACTCCACTATTCCCACTCCACTATTTACAGACTCCACTATTCCCACTCCACTATCTACAGACTCCACTATTCCCACTCCACTATCTACAGACTCCACTTTTTCCACTCCACTATCTACTGACTCCGCTATTCCCACTCCACTATCTACAGACTCCACTTTTTCCACTCCACTATCTACTGACTCCGCTATTCCCACTCCACTATCTACAGACTCCACTATTCCCATTCCACTATTTACAGACACCACTATTCCCGCTCCACTATCTACAGACTCCACTATACCCACTCCACTATCTACAGACTCCGCTATTCCCACTCCACTATCTACAGACTCCACTATTCCCACCCCACTATCTACAGACTCCATTATTCCCACTCCACTATTTACAGACTCCACCATTCCCGCTCCACTATCTACAGACTCCACTATTCCCACTCCACTATTTACAGACACCACTATTCCCGCTCCACTATTTCCAGACACCACTATTCCCACTCCACTATTTACAGACTCCACTATTCCCACTCCACTATTTACAGACACCACTATTCCCACTCCACTATTTACAGACTCCACTATTCCCACTCCACTATTTACAGACTCCACTATTCCCACTCCACTATTTACAGACTCCACTATTCCCACTCCACTATTTACAGACTCCACTATTCCCATTCCACTATTTACAGACTCCACTATTCCCACTCCACTATTTACAGACTCCACTATTCCCATTCCACTATCTACAGACTCCACTATTCCAAATTCCACTATCTACAGACTCCACATTCCCACTATTCCACTATTCCCACTCCACTATTTACAGACTCCACTATTCCCACTCCACTATTTACAGACTCCACTATTTCCACACCACTATTTACAGACTCCACTATTCCCACTCCACTATTGACATACTCCGCTATTCCCACACCACTATCTACAGACTCCACTATTCCCAATCCACTATTTACAGGGCACCTGTATTGCTCTAGTTGACTGCAGCATCTACCATCATTGTGTGACTGTTGCAGGTGCTGCCTGTGTGGAAGGGGGACAGTGACATGCCGGAGGTAAAGAGACAGGAAACACTTCCTGAGGATCTCGCTCCACTGTGAGTGTCTATCATACATGATTCAGTCATTACACTAGCTTCCATATAGGTAGGATTCCATGGTTATTTACCTTCTGACTTAAAGTATTTTGACATCTTAATCTCTAAAACATGGATATTCAGTATTGCTCACCTTGATTAAATTGAAAGACATTATGTGTTTGTTGTCTGAATTAAGTACACTTTTTAACACCTGTCACTTAAGTTACAGTGATATGGGAAAATGATGATATTATCATCTCTCTTAGAATGAGGTAGTTACTACATATATTTTTTGTGGTAACATAGCCACAAGCTGCTGCAGATCCAGCACACAGCATCTGAGAACATCATTGCCCCCATCAATACCATCACCTTCAAGCGGGTCCCCAGTTTCCTCCCACACATCAACAGGTACACCAGACATCAGTTCCTTTGCAACAATTGCAAATAGAGGTTGTCATCAAGTGCTGGATGAATGCTTCCAGACAGATTGTATCACATGACATGTCTGTATCATTATCTCTGCCTCATAACCCTAACCAAGAGACACATATGGTAAACATAAGTGTTTAACAATAAAACTGAGATTTATCTTTCAATTTCGACAAATATATGTCTTCAGATTTGTCAGTCATGAAATCAGCTTGATTCTATATTTGTACAATGTATAAAGGTGTTTCCCACAATGTAGTATATACAGTAATTGTTTTGTATGATGTGTGGTGCAGGTTCTTGCCTCTCACTTGTGGCCAGCAGTGTTGGCTGGCATCCAGTCCAGCAACATGACCTCCACTGTCTTCTCAAGCAAGACATCCCACCTCCATCAGCAGAGACAGAATGGGTATGCTTTACTTCGAATGCAGTTGTGTTATTATCAAATTGGGGAACAGTCATCCAAATCAAGCATGACTTTAAACATCAAACATATCAAAGGTTCTGTAATGGTTGGATAGTGAAAGTGTCAGCTGAAGTAGCATTTTCTGCACCAGTGTATCAACTTGAGTACATATTCTCCCCCAGATTCCAGTAACTATCCTGACTGGAGTTCCAGGCTGTCACAAGGAGAACCTGGCAAGAACCATCACCAGCTTTGACAAGGACAACACACGGTAAGTGGGGACAATGAAACCTTGCGTTGCAAGCTGGAGGCTCTGCCCACAGAGGAGCTGTGTCTTCATACAGTTGGAGTCTTGGGCATCTGCTTCACAGAGGAGCTGTGTCTTCATACAGTTGTCCTCATCTTAGGTAGCCTTGGGTACAGTTGATGATGGATGATGGTTTGTCTTTGTCTTCATACAGTTGTCCTCATCAGTAAGGAGCTGTGTTTTCTTACAGTTGTCCTCATACAGCTGTAAGTCTTCAGGTAGCCTTGGTTACATGATGATGGTTTGTCTTCACAGAAGAGCTGTGTCTTCATACAGTTGTCCTCATCTTAGTAAGTCTTGGGTACATGATGATGGTTTGTCTTCTCACAGAAGAGCTGTGTCTTCATACAGTTGTCCTCATCTTAGGTAGCCTTGGGTACATGATGATGGTTTGTCCTCTCAGGTAGCCACAGATGAGCTTGTCCTCTCAGAAGAGCTGTGTCTTCATACAGTTGTCCTCATCTTAGGTAGCCTTGGGTACATGATGATGGTTTGTCTTCTCACAGAGGAGCTGTGTCTTCATACAGTTGTCCTCATCTTAGGTAGCCTTGGGTACATGATGATGGCATTGTGGTTTTCTCACAGAGGAGCTGTGTCTTCATACAGTTGTCCTCATCTTAGTTACAAGATCTTGGTGTACATGATGATGGTTACATGATGATTGTCTCTCACAGAGCTGTGTCTTCATACAGTTGTCCTCATCTTAGGTAGCCTTGGTTACATGATGATGGCTTGTCTTGTCTCATACTCAGTCTTGGGTACATGATGACCTGAGCTGTGTCTTCATACAGTTGTCCTCATCTTGATGGCTTGTCACAGAAGAGCTGTGTCTTCATACAGTTGTCCTCATCTTAGTAAGTCTTGGGTACATGATGATGGTTTGTCTTCTCACAGAGCTGTGTCTTCATACAGTTGTCCTCATTTAGGTAGCCTTGGTTACATGATGATGGCTTGTCTCACAGAAGAGCTGTGTCTTCATACAGTTGTCCTCATCTTAGTAAGTCTTGGGTACATGATGATGGCTTGTCTTCTCTCTCAGAGCTGTGTCTTCATACAGTTGTCCTCTTGGTATGGCTTGTCTCTCAGAAGAGCTGTGTCTTCATACATGATGATGGTTACATTGTCTCACAGAAGAGCTGTGTCTTCATACAGTTGTCCTCATCTTAGGTAGCCTTGGTTACATGATGATGGTTTGTCTCACAGAAGAGCTGTGTCTTCATACAGTTGTCCTCATCTTAGGTAGCCTTGGTTACATGATGATGGCTTGTCTCACAGAAGAGCTGTGTCTTCATACAGTTGTCCTCATCTTAGTAAGTCTTGGGTACATGATGATGGTTTGTCTTCTCACAGAGCTGTGTCTTCATACAGTTGTCCTCATCTTAGGTAGCCTTGGTTTCATGATGATGGCTTGGACCTGTGTCTTCATACAGTTGTCCTCATCTTAGTAAGTCTTGGTTACATGATGATGGTTTGTCTCTCACAAGAGCTGTGTCTTCATACAGTTGTCCTCATCTTAGGTAAGTCATGATGATGGCTTGTCTACATGATGATGTTGTTTGTCTTACAGAAGAGCTGTGTCTTCATACAGTTGTCCTCATCTACATGATGACGGTTTGTCTTCTCGAGAGGAGCTGTGTCTTCATACAGTTGTCCTCATCTTAGTAAGTCTTGGGTACATGATGACGGTTTGTCTTCTCGAGAGGAGCTGTGTCTTCATACAGTTGTCCTCATCTTAGTAAGCCTTTGGTACATGATGACGGTTTGTCTTCTCGAGAGGAGCTGTGTCTTCATACAGTTGTCCTCATCTTAGGTAGCCTTGGTTACATGATGATGGCATGTCTCACAGAAGAGCTGTGTCTTCATACAGTTGTCCTCATCTTAGTAAGTCTTGGGTACATGATGATGGTTTGTCTTCTCAAGAGGAGCTGTGTCTTCATACAGTTGTCCTCATCTTAGTAAGCCTTTGGTACTTGATGGTTTGTCTTCTCAGGGAAGAGCCAGGTTGTTTATTTTCCCTGAGTAAGCCTTGGGTATATGTAAGAGTGTCTCTTCATAGAGCAAATAACTCCTCAGCTTTGACTCCTTTGTATTCCTTGGACCAGTGGGCAATACCTCTGACCAGAATTTGGGATCGGGACCATGTTCTGCAAAGCGATGTTGGTGAGTGATGATGGTCCACCATAAAACATTAATGTTTGTATCAGCTCAGAATTTAGTATCAAGACGTCAATCACTAAACTGGGACACAAACTGGGATTTGATATCAGTACTCAGAATTTAGGTATCAAGACCTCAGGGGTGTCACTGTGCTGAAAGCTTAAATGACCATTGAAACTCGGGTGAAAATGGGACCCCTCCTTTGCCTGATATCCAGTACACAGACCTATGTAACATAAGGGAAGGACAGTTGATATCCATGGGCTGCAACCAAGCAATGCCTGTTGCATTGTCATTACTGTTGATGTTAATTTATGCTTTATTACAACTTGAGTGCAAGAATCATGCTTCTGATGTTTTGCATTAATGAAAACTGGGAACATGCAGCCCTTGGTAATGTAAATGTTGATTTGTTAAACTCTGTGTGAACAGATGGACAACAATCTGTCAGCCCCATGACAACAGTTCCGTGTTTGACCCGTGAGTCTCCAGAACTCCCTCACCTCCGCCTACTCTGCCAACCGCCGCCGTCATACGTCCGGCAACTACAAGAGAACCAGGGTGGTCATCCTCACGCCAGGGTGGGTAGATTCTCTGCGGGTTATATGTAGCATGTTTCCCTACCCTAAAATAGTACAGGAACCCATGTTGGTGAGGCCTCATGAGCCGCCAGAAGTGAGTCACTTTGGTTTGGATGATTTTCTGACCATGTTATCACAGTGTTGTAACTTGTCTCCATAGTTACATCAGAATGGAATATTTGAATGGAATATTTAATCAGTGTTGATAATATGGACACATAGTTTCTTGATTTATGACATTGTTTTATTTATTTCAGATACACTGACATCATCGATGTAGTCCATGCCATAGTCTCTCACCCTAACACAGAGGTAGCTTCACAGGTCAGGATAGGTGAGAGTTTTTCCGTTGTACATGGGGAGATCGGAAATTGATTTGGAGAAATTGAGCCTTGTGGGAGTTGTGTTTGAAAGCAATGTGTTTTCAATTCCTCCCTGTTGTATTGTATAGACTCTGTTGTGTTGTTCCTTCCCTTTGATATGGTACATATTCCCCATTTTGTGTTGCTTGATGATTCCTGATGATGTGTCTGTCAGTATTTACCTTTGATGTGTTGTATATCACTTATATTGTGTTGTATATCTCACTTATATTGTGTTGTATATCACTTGTATATCACTTTTATTGTGTTGTATATCGTGTTGTATATCACTTATATTGTGTTGTATATTCTCTTGCATGTATTCTGTGATGATCCATAGTGATCCATCATTGCCTATACCTTGTTGCAGGTGCAGTGACAGCCTGTGTGGACCCACTCAACACGTTCATGGAACAAAGGTACAAAACTACTAAATCTCACATTAGTAACCATTACTACAAACTAGCCAGACTTTTTATCCCCCGCTTCGCGCTAAACATATCTTAAGAACCGTTGACTGGATTCTTTTCATATTTGGTACCTAGGTTCATCACAGTAAAATAAAGGTCCCAGTCAGGTCTGGTGACCTTGACCTTCATATCAAGGTCACAAGGGGACTTTAACGTTTTACCCTTGTCAGCAAGATATCTCAAGAACCGTTGACTGGATTTTCTTCATATTCAACACCAAGCTTTATCTAGGGATGGCGCAGATTTTTGTGACCTTCACCTAATTTTCAAGGTCACAGCGACACTTTGAAGATTTCAGCATGTTAAACTGCATGTTAAGATTGTCAGCGAGACATCTCAGGAACAGTTCACTGGATTTTCTTCATAGACTTTCAAGACTTCCCTTGAATGTTTTTCAATAAACAATTTCTTTATTACTATTTTTGCATATTTCATACTCTAAGACATTCATGTCAAGGTCAAAGTGAATCTTGAAAATATTTGTGCGTTTGAACAACTACAGAGCAAGATATCAAGAGAGGTTGACTGGTCATGTTTTTGTTGACATTTACCTTCATCTTAAATTACGACCTTCACTTTCATTACTTTTTAAGTTTGATTTGATAATTTGCGGTGGGGGATTATGTCACCTTAGTGACAATGCTTGTTCTTTTTGTGTGTTTAAGATTGCACCAATAATTTCTCACATTGTCAGATTTGAACACAGGAACAATAATTGACAGTTATGTCACCTTTCAGTCATCTATTCATTGTTAGGATGACACACTGAGGTACTGAAGCTCACATTAACTCTTCCTTGACCAGGTTGACGATTCCCACTCTGTTGAACCACTGCAGCCAGGGCTGGGTTAACTGCATTGTCTTCACATCCACCAAGGTTGGTTTGTTTGTTTGTTTGTTTGTTTGTTTAATGTCTCACTCAGCAATATTCCAGCTGTATGACGGCAGTCTGTATAAAATTGAATGTGAACCAGGCAATCCAGTGATTAGCATCATGAGCATGTGTCAACCAAGTCAGCGTGCCTGATCTTCCAATCTTGTTAGTTTCATGGATTATGGAAATCAATTTTAACCTGGATCTTCATGGTAGTCCACCAAGGTAGGCAATGTACCAAGCCAGCAGTGTTTCAACATTGTGTCTTCTGTTATACAAGGCTTGTAAATGTATGGCTGAAATAGAAGTATTCCCATTGCAGTGTTTCATTACATGATGTCGTTTCAGATGCTACAGATTTCCAACAATATTTGCTATTCATAAGTTATGTTATGGGTATGATATTCAGTATTTATCATTAATGTAAATCATGTGTAGTGAATGAACAATTTATGAATGAATCTTCCACACATATAATTTGCAATGTTTTACGTACTGTTTTTTACATATTATCAAAAGGTGCCAATGGTGACTCTCTTGTACTGTGTCTGGTTTAAACAATGTAGAAACTTATTTTGATTCTTCCTTCTCTGTCATCCCTTGTGTGACAGAATGAGATGCTGGAGGAGGTTCAGAATCTTATCCGGAGTATCAACAATGATGTGGCTCTGCTACTGGCAGAGAGGGGCGTTGTGAGGAGGTATGTGCTTCTTCCTTTCAAACTGGTGTGTTTAGTTCTCCGTACATAGTGGGCTATATGTGTGTCTGTCAAATACTATGTAACAGTTTATATCTCCACACATTTGTGTTTGCTAGTGACTAATTCTGTGACTGGTAAGTGTGTGCTTTTATAGATCATATGATTTCCTCAGGTAGACCACCTGTATGTTTTCTTTGAAAAATGATGTAATATCTGAACCTAGCCCATATATATGAGTTATTGTATTGCAGGAGCCCTGACCTGGAACTGATCATGTCGGAGTCCAGCTTCCACCTCCCCCAGATGGTGGCTGCACGACAGTGTCTCAACCCTGGCTGGTACGTCTGACATGACTATACTCATTGTGTGCAGTCTCCCATGGGAAGGGGATATTTTACTAGTGCTTCATTTTGTTTCAAATTTGTTTTTATACTTGAAGACATTTTAAACTGAGGAGCCAAAAGAACCATACATCAGTAAATTTTATTGTATGATTTTTTCAAATGAGAACATATTAAGTTAGCATATTATATCTAAAAAATATGTTGTACTGGCTCTGATTACACACTCTCTCATATTTTAAAAAAATCTTCAGTTAACTTTCATGCAGTACACAACTGCTGGTGAATATCTTTGATATCTTATCTTTGAAAATCAATTATTTATGGTAGAGGTCATGTGGATGCAAATTCATTTTGAACCCCAGTCTTCGTGGAACCAGTATATTTTTAACCCAAATTACCCAGTTGACTTTTTATAAACTGTTGCAATAATGGGTGATGGTAATAGCCATAGCCAATTTTAAAAGTAATTCTTTCATTTTTCAATCATTTTCTTTCACTACTCAGTTTAGGGTAATTTATTTGGGTCATGCATTTTTTGCTAAAATTGGTGTCCAAAACTTGCTTTTGAGAAAAATAATATGATGAAATGACATCAATACCTATTAGTTCATGAATTTGATGAGTTTATTGAGGCTGATTCCCTACTGACGCTGTAGCAGTGGTGAGATTATGTGTTTACCTACAGGCGCCAGGGCATCTACCTCCGAGCTGCGACCTCGCCATTCATGAACCAAGTGGTCCTCCACTTCTCCAAACCCCTGGACAAGAACAAACTACACAGCAGTCTCAGAGGTCAGAGATACCACGCTCTTTAAAATGGCCTTTACTATGACTATTTTTACCTTGATCATGTAAATGATTTTTCTTCATGTACCTTCATTATTTCTCAACCATAATAGTCCCCTCTACATTTCACTACATGTTTCAAGCTTTAATTCACTACTTGCATAAAGATACTTTCCTGGTCTAAAATACATTTGTTATTTATCAAGGTTATATATAGAACTGAAATATATTGTAGATACCTGGTGTCGATGGAACATATTCTAAGCACAATCCTTCAAAATGCTTATTTAACATTCTTTCATCTCCAACTGTATGTGACAGGCCAACATCATGTCCAATTACTATACCCAAAATGTTATCATACACAATCTGTTATGAGGAGATGTTATATGATGCTGTGGTATGTGCTTGTAGGTCTTCATGGGAAGCTGAAGAAACACAGGCTGGAGGACAATATATACCATGTGGAGGGCAGACTGAGATTTACAGGTTGGTCATGGTATCTACTACACTGACTGCAGACTCACAGATAGGTTGCCATATCTACAACATTAACTGAAGACTCACAGATACGTTACAACATCAATGCCATTGACTGCAGACTCACAGATAGGTTACAATATCTATGACATTGACTGCAGACTTACAGATAGGTTGCAATATCTACAACATTGACTGCAGACTTACAGATAGGTTACAACATCAACACCATTGACTTCAGACTCACAGATACGTTACAACATCAACACCATTGACTGCAGACTCACAGATATGTTACAACATCAACACCATTGACTGCAGACTCACAGATATGTTACAACATCAACGCCATTGACTGCAGACTTACAGATAGGTTACAACAACATCTACCAGACTGACACAGAATAAGACTCACAGTTAAGTTGCAACATCATCCACATTGATGGCAGACAGCATCAATAGTAGTACACAATAATCAGTGTAGAAATAACGCCAGTGAACCTGTCTGACATAAGCTGCACTTCTCACTGACTGACATCAGTTTCTGTACTAGAGTCAGGTACTTGAAGTAAATTGATGCTGTTATTGATAGACTGGATACCCTGTGTTAGTTGACAGGGTTTCAACAACTATTTCTGGGAGTTACATACACTTATTACATGTTCTGTTTCATGTAATATTCGTCTACTTGGTCCCAGATTCCCGCCAGATAGTGGATCTACAGTTCGTGACACTGAGTGGCTTCCTGACCTCATCTCTATCAGATGACCAGGCCATTCCTCCGTCACGTCAGATGAATGGCCAGCCTCTTCATGACTGTTTCCTCACCTTTAGTGGGTGTGGTCTGCAGGAGAGCAAGCTCAAGGACTGGCTACTGTCTCTGTGCTCAACAGGTAGGGCGAGAGTTTCACAACATGATACATCTGTTCAACAGGTAGGGTAGGGGTTTCACAACATGATACATCTGTTCAACAGGTAGGTTTCACAACATGATACATCTGTTCATCAGGTAGGGTAGGGGTTTCACAACATGATACATCTGTTCAACAGGTAGGGCAGGGGTTTCACAACATGATACATCTGTTCAACAGGTAGGGTAGGGGTTTCACAACATGATACATCTGTTCAACAGGTAGGGCAGGGGTTTCACAACATGATACATCTGTTCAACAGGTAGGGTAGGGGTTTCACAACATGATACATCTGTTCAACAGGTAGGGCAGGGGTTTCACAACATGATACATCTGTTCAACAGGTAGGGCAGGGGTTTCACAACATGATACATCTGTTCAACAGGTAGGGTAGGGTTTCACAACATGATACATCTGTTCATCAGGTAGGGTAGGGGTTTCACAACATGATACATCTATTCAACAGGTAGGGTAGGGGTTTCACAACATAATACATCTGTTCATGCACGTAATGTACACTGTCCAAACAGAAATACAAGTACAATTAGAAATATATTCCCACATGTTATGTCTCTTTTACCTAGAAAATAAGATATGTCACAGATCTATTCATGATGATGAAACAACTGTGAATGATTTGTTTGTCGACAACTGCTGTTTTGTATTGAGTATTAACTGATATACTGTCCTCTACAGAAACCGGAGAAGAAGAAGCCAGTGTCCAGAGGAGATCTCACCAAGGAAGAAATCTCCAGGATACACGTAAGCTGTTTTGGTGTTGTTGTACAAGCTCTTTCTGTCCTCTGGTCACCATATGAGTTATGTCCCTTGCCTGTACCAGTATTTGTGCATGG